GAGGAGGAGGAGACACTGACAGGAGGAGGATCTGACAGGAGGAGGAGGAGACACTGACAGGAGGAGGATCTGACAGGAGGAGGAGACACTGACAGGAGGAGGAGGAGACACTGACAGGAGGAGGATCTGACAGGAGGAGGAGGAGACACTGACAGGAGGAGGATCTGACAGGAGGAGGAGACACTGACAGGAGGAGGAGGAGACACTGACAGGAGGAGGATGTGACAGGAGGAGGAGGAGACACTGACAGGAGGAAGATCTGACTGAAGGAGGAGACACTGACAGGAGGAGGATCTGACAGGAGGAGGAGACACTGACAGGAGGAGGAGACACTGACAGGAGGAGGATCTGACTGGAGGAGGAGACACTGACAGGAGGAGGATCTGACAGGAGGAGGAGACACTGACAGGAGGAGGAGACACTGACAGGAGGAGACACTGACAGGAGGAGGATCTGACAGGAGGAGGAGACACTGACAGGAGGAGGAGACACTGACAGGAGGAGACACTGACAGGAGGAGGATCTGACTGAAGGAGGAGACACTGACAGGAGGAGGAGACACTGACAGGAGGAGGATCTGACTGAAGGAGGAGACACTGACAGGAGGAGGATCTGACAGGAGGAGGAGACACTGACAGGAGGAGGAGACACTGACAGGAGGAGGATCTGACTGAAGGAGGAGACACTGACAGGAGGAGGATCTGACAGGAGGAGGAGACACTGACAGGAGGTGGATCTGTCAGGAGGAGGAGGATCTGACAGGAGGAGTCTCTGACAGGAGGAGGATCTGACAGGAGGAGGAGACACTGACAGGAGGAGGATCTGACAGGAGGAGGAGTCTCTGACAGGAGGAGGATCTGACAGGAGGAGGAGACACTGACAGGAGGAGTCTCTGACAGGAGGAGGAGACACTGAGAGGAGGAGGAGATSCTGATAGGAGCGCAGCAGCGCATCAATCCTGACTCATTCACTGAAACTTATCAGTATAAATGAAAATGTTGAGCCGCTCGCTCTTTGCGCACGCGGCCCTGCTGCTGCTGCTGCTGCTGGGTCCACTCCCTCTGTGGTCAGGGCTGGTGTCGGCCGAGTATTCCACTAAATCCGAACCGGACTACGAGTTCGGTGACTACCGGGGGAAGTGGTGTCTTGATGATCACGGTTTTGTCTTCAGCATCGGAGAGGTTTACTACCCGAGCCGCGTGGCGTGTCCGTGCACGTGCACAGTGGACGGTCCGGTGTGCGTCCGACCCAGATGTCCCCGCATCCACCCCCGGTGCACGCGGATCAGTTACAAGGCATGCTGCCCGGTGTGCGAGGCTTTGACCAAAGTCTGTGTCYACGGAGGGAAAACTTACCGACTTCTGGAAGAGTTTATGGTGAGAAGATCAGAGCTACAGCTTTGTCTGCATCAGGTCCCTCCATGCGCGTGCTCCATGTGCATTTATCTCTCTCTTCCTGTCCCTCCATCCACGTCTTCCATGTCCCTCCATCCACGTCTTCCATGTCCCTGCTGTCTCTTCCTGTCCCTCCATCCGCGCGCAGCTGTTGTGCTGCCTGAGTTTTACGCATCACAGATGGCAGCATCAGAAAAAGTTTGTTTGGGATATACAGTGTGTGTGTGTGTGTGTGTGTGTGTGTGTGTGTGTGTGTGTGTGTGTGTGTGNTCATTTTAAATCAATACTTTTACTTTTAGTACTTAAGTACAAAAAATGTCAGATACTTTAAGACTTTTACTCAAGTAATATTCCTAAAAGAGACTTTAACTTTGACCAAAGTAATTTTTTGGTAAGATATTTGTACTTTTACTCAAGTATCACTTTGTGGTACTTTATTCAACACTGCACCTGACCTGACAGTGATTGAATCACCTCTTCATGTTCTGCAGAAGAGGTTCTGCCTGTCATTCACCCATTCATTCAAATAGGTGTGCTGGAGCAGAGAAACCTAAAACAAAATATAATTAAAGGTACAGTTTCAACTTTGTGAGGTGGTGTCAGTAATCAGTATCTTACCTGTGGCAGAAATTGCTCAGTGCAGTTTTGTACATTAGAAAATCAAATTTCTTAGGAAATGAACTCATAAGAGTGGGACAACTTCCAAAGCTAATTCCTGCCATCTTAAACTCCAGTCTTTATTTTAAAAAAGTGCCAGCTCAGTTTTATAAATCGTTTTTGTATTTACAGAGTAAATACAAAACTGTGTGGAGTTTGTGGTTATGCTTTGCTTGGTAGTGTTTAAGTTTGTTCTGTTTTCAGTGGTGGGCAGTAATGGAGTACATTTACTTGAGTACTGTACTTAAGTACATTTTTGAGTATATTTAGGTCTACTTGAGKAATTAATTTTGGGGTACTTATGACTTTCACTCCACTACATTTCAAAGACAAATATTGWAGTTTTGACTCCACKACATTTCTAGGAAGCTTTTAGTTACTTGTCACTTTTCAGCTGTTGCTGTTTTTCTTTCTTGAAATGCCACACTATGTTYCTCACAARGGGAACCAATCACAGCTGTGGCTCACACCTGGCATAGATCTGAAATTACATCATTTGTGTTAACTGTCATGAGCTGAGCTACAGCATCATTTCAAATGGAGAAGATTGAAGAGAGTAGAGAAACCAGTGCACACATGGCCATATCTCAGATCAAAGTGTGAGATTTTAGGACTGAAAACTTGTTTGTATCAGTTTAAACGTCTTCTGTGCTCACCATGGATAAACTACATTTCTGCATTTAAGAACTCACTGTTCACTTTGTTGTATTTTTATGCTGAAGTCTTTACAGGTGGTGATTTGTAGCAGAGTGGTTCTACACGTCGATACATCAGGTGGTTTCTGAGTTCAGTGTTCTATAATGTAGTGATACTTGAGTAAAAGTACAAGTATATTACCAAAAAATTACTTTTGTAAAAGTTAAAATCTCCTTTAGGA